ATTGGTCTTGGAAGGGCAAAATGGTCTTTTGCCCAAATTTTGGATTAGACTTGGCTTGGGAATAGTTGAGTTTGTATAATCACCTTAATTGTTAATTAGGGTTATTTGGTGCAATTAATAGGCAGAGTCTAGTTCCGGCAGTTCTGGTGTGAGTTTTATCAGTCTTCTGTGCGAGGTGAGTCTCCTCACTATACTTACCTGTGTGGTAGAATAGATGTGTTGAATAGCTGGGTCTATTTGTTGTTATTGTGATATGTATTATTGTTTATGCTGAGATTTCGGGTAGTCCCCAGGATTGTTGATAATCCACAGGATGTGTTGTTTGTCCACTGAGACTTTGGGTAGTCGCCAGGGTTGCTGATAACCCATAACTGTTTATTTGTGATGTTTTGTATGTGATACTTTGGGGAACTTAGTAATATTTGTGCTTACAGTTTTTGATTAAATGTGTTTCAGGTACTTCTGATGATCGCGGGAAGGCGAAGGCTTGATTGTACACATTCGCCTGCAGTTTATGATTCCAGATAGTTTGGGACACTCTGATATTATGATGATGATTTGTATTTGATACTTGTGATTTTCTTGAGATGGCTTTTTATGAACAATGTATTTAGCTAATTAAAAATGAAAATTTTGGTTTGAAAACTTGGATGTTACATTCGTTATTCTATCAACCTCCATCTCAGAGAGCATCTCCAATGCAAAACCCTAGCCCCTTATTGTGTTTCTAAGAGTTTTCTTCCTTGGTTTAGCTTGAATAGTCCATTAATTTGCAAGAGGGCGTTGTTTCGGTCATCTCCAGTAGCTAGCAACCTTCATTTCCTTGATTTGGATCTATGTGGGTATTCAAGTTCATTGCTTTATGATTATCGCTTGTTGGATCAAGATTTATGGCTTTGTTTTTTTACCTTTTCACATGGTTTGGGTGGAGTTTGGAAAACTTTAGACCGAAATGTTATTTATGAGGGTCTTGTGAACCTTTTTGGTCACAATTCATGGAATGTTATCTTGCATTTGGAACCATGTAAGGTCATGAGCTCATTTTGGTCCTTTTATGACCAAGATTGTAGATCTTAGCGTTTAGGGATCCCAAATGGATAAAGCTTGGAACTTTATCAATTAAGACCTTGTTTTGATGAGTTTTGGAAGATCATGGTTTATGTATAGAAGGATTAAAACATAAGGAAAAGGTGGTTGTTAAGCCAGAAGTAGCGGCGCGACCTGCTTGAGATTCACGACACAAATTCGAGCCTGTCCCGACTATTTTGTCGGCCAATGATTCACGACGTGACCTATAGCAGGTCACGACGTGAATGTTATGGACCATTGACTTTTGGACCATTTGACTTTTGGTCAATGTAGGGTTTTTGGATTGTAGACTGAGGTTTGGCCATTGTGTAGGTTTCGTGGTGTGCATAGCTATTTCTAAGTGATTGTTGTAATTTAGCTTTTAATCAGGCGAGTCTTCTCACTATATTGTAGGACACTGGGTGTTAGGTTATGCTAGTTGTCTTTGTGACTCTTGCATGTTTGTTTATATGCTTGTTGGGCTGGGACCGTTGGGCTAGGCCCATTTATATGTTTAATGGGAAAAACCCAAATGTATCTATGTCGGGCTGGGCTCATATGAATGAAACATAACTGTTGGGCTAGGCCCGTTACTTGTATGGTATGTGGTATTTTAGGGAAGTCTAAGCTTTGTGCTTACGGTTTAGAGTTTAAATATTTCAGGTACTTCTGGTAGCAAAGGGAAGGGCCCCATAGGATCGCATCGCATCGACTTTTATGATTTGAGATGATCCGCACTTTTCATTTTATGACTCTGATTTGATGATGTTTGAACAAATGGTTATTTTACTCTTTTGAGAAAGAAATTAGTATCGTTTCTTTTATATCAAATGAAAAAAATTACTCTAGTTTTTGGGACGTTACAGTTAGAGAGATATAGAGTTACATGTTAGTAACCGACTTCATTAATGAAATAACAATGAATAACTTAAAGTTGAGTTTATTTAAAAAAAGTTTTAGGTCAAAAGCGAAAACAAAATATATATGATCTTTTATGAAATAAATCTAATTTACCTGTCACACACCTCACACATCGGTTCCTAGAATGAAATATAAGAAATAGCTAAAAATTGGATTTTTTTAAGAAAAAAAAAATATTCAACGTCTAAATCGAAAAAGATAAAAATATAAGATGTTTTGTGGAATAAACTAAGATAACCAAAATGATTATGTAAACCTTATATGATTAAATTAAACTGTTATAAATTATACTCCGATTTGTTTTATTTCATAAAAGACAAATTAAAACGAAATGATAATTTATCGTAAAGATGTCAACGGGGGCAAACGGGACGAGGATTGCATCCCCCGCCCCCGCCCCCGAAATCTCCATCCTTTACACCCTGCCCACGCCCCCGAATTCCCCTTCTTACCTTCGTCCCCGCCCCCGATTGATTTTGGGCTACCTTATTTGGGCTAAAAGAAGTTTTTGTTTGTGCTAAAAGAAACTATTTTTTGGGTAACAAATAGTTATTTATAGCATAATTTTGCATGTTACAAACAACTTAAAAACAAGTTTTTTGATGAAGTTTGGTATGTAAAAATCATTATATTGTTTATTATATTTATATAATATATATATAATTTATTAACGGGGCCCCCATGGGGATTTAGGGACGGGACTGTCAACCCCCGCCCCCGAAATTAAAACGGGGTTAAAGTTTCTCCCGACCCCGATTTTTTTCCAGCAAATACCCCTGGATAGGGCCCCAACAGAATCGGGGTCCCATGAGACTTTTTGACATACCTAATTTATCGTCTCTCTTTTTGTAAAAGGTTAGTTTGGCTCCATGTACAAACATTCTCACTACCTTTAACATATATACAAATTTGTCCGTTTTAATTAAGAATTTCGTTCATATAGTTATAAATTTTCATAATTACGTCTATATCTTTATAAAACTTCAAAATATATATGGGATAATGACTTGGGAGGGTAACGAACCTTCAACTTTGGTCACATTTAGTTACTAAATTTTTTTCGTACTTGATTTACTCTTGGAGTATTTGAAATTGTTCACATTTTACCCTTATGACTGGTAACAACCGGTCATCATGGTAAAATGTGAACAATATCAAATAATTCATAGGTAAATCAAGCACGAAAAAAAAGTTCAGTGACTAAATATAAACAAAGTTGAAAGTTTATTACTCTTTCAAGTCGTTATTCATTTTTGTAATAATCTGTTAGTTTATTTTGCCTACTGGTAGCAATGACTTAGATTAATAATTGTGATTTCATTCACTACGATTTGTTTTGTGTTGTGTTTATAAAGAGTATTACATAATAGAATACGTACCACATAACCATGTTTTAGTTCATGACTTTAAGTACTAGTTCATAAGATAAACGTTTAACTAGAGTTTTTTTTGTTCACCTATAAGTGAAACGCCAACCCACAAAGAAGAAATAATCAATAGAGTTTCACAAAGGCAAAAGTACACATATACGAGCAATAAAACTAAAAATTACATCGAAAATAAAAAGGAGCACAAGGAGAAGTACATATAGAACCAACATACAAATAGAAAATATAGATGCAAGTAATAACTAGGAAGAAAAGTATCGATCTATAACGACCGTCCCCGCCATCTGGAGTGAAAACCGCCGCCTATATCCTAAGTATATGTCTGAAACCACCATAATTTTTTTTCCTTCTGTTTCTATGTGATTGAAGTCACTTATGCTGCATTTCTAAGTGTTGTTTTTGATACCTTATACAATAAAGGTATATCAAACAATTACTACAACATCCTCACTTTTGTGACCTCCATATTCCGCTTGTGCTTATTCTTAATAACATTTAGAATCATTTACAGGATAATTACTTGAAATAGTAACAAACTTTCAATTTTGTTCATATTTAGCCCTGAACTTTTTCGTACTTGATTTACCTCTGAATTATTTGAAATTGTTCACATTTACCCTTATGACCGGTAACAACTGGTCATAAGGGTACAATGTGAACAATTTCAAATAATTTAAGGGTAAATCAAACACGAAAAAAAATCAGTAACTAAATGTGACCAAAGTTAAAAGTTCGTTATCCTCTCAAGTCATTATCGCTTAATATATATATATATATATATATATATATATATATATATATATATATATATATATATATAACCTATAAACGTACATATATACCCAAATATTTAATTTAATCATATTTAATATATTTAAAAAGTAAAAACAATATCTTTAAATTAGATTATAACTAAATTATTAAAACACACATTTGTAATCCCACTCATAATCGATCTCTTTATTCACGACATCATTCTTTGTCACTTCTTATTTTGCATTATCGATTAGTAGAACTCGATGATTGCATATTACTGATCGCTTGGCAACAATATATTTTATCTTCTATAATCGATTTAGGAGGCCTACGATTATTCTCTTCTAAACAATTTTATTCTTCCTTTGTAAAATTATAGAAAAACTAATTTCAATATAGGTGTCAGGATTTTATAAGAATTCATAAAGCAAAAGAATAACAATGTGGACGAATGATAATATTATAACGTTACTAGTTAATTATTTTTTAGTAATAAAAAATCAGTATAAAGATGTTTTTATTTTTTAATATATTACATATGATTAAATTAAGTTTTTATGTTTTATAAAGATACGTATGTAATTTGAAATTTTCCAAAGATATAAATATAATTATAAAAGTTTACAAAGATATAGATGAAATTCTACTTAATATTACATATTACATAAATCTTTTTACATAAAACAAATTGTATTTGCTAATTTTATGACAACAATTAACAAGTACTCTAAAAGGAATTGCCAATATTACTAAGTTTTTTCTCATCAATCCCTAAGTTTTTTAATTGCACCCATAAAAGAAGATAAAAGATAATTCAAGGATATCGTAACAAAAAAGAAAGATCAACTCAGTCAAAAAAGCATCAATTCCATTTGTACATTATCCACTATTAAAGATGCCCAAAGTACAAAGAATATATTTTTACAATCAATCCCAAGCATCAAAATTCGGGAAAATCTTACAACACAATCACGAAAATCTTTTATCTTTTTCATATCAATTGCACAAAATCTTTGGTGTTTCACCAAAACCGATAAAAAAAATGAAACATGACAAAAACCACTTTACTCATCATCCTCATCTTCATCTTCTTCTTCACAAAGCCTTTGTGAGTCCACTTGTAACTCCCATGGTGGAAGGCATCCTTTGTAGAGTGAATGTTTATATAATGACGAAATTGACACCTTTCTCAACTTATTATGCGTTGAAAATGATGAGAAACAACTAAATGAACCTCTTAAACTCTTGTTTTCATACTCATCATCATCGGAAGAGTTTGATTTGTTTTTAACACCTGAACCCTTGATTGATTTCGGGAGTATACAACGACAACATGAACCTACAAAATCATTTCAAAAGATTAGCTTACAAACAACCCAAACATAGTTTTGTTCTGTCTCATTAACATCAGTCTCAGTCAGTCTGTCAGAATGACTGACTGTCTCATTAACATCCGTCTCGGTCCAATAAAAATAAACATGTCAAATGCAATACATGTTTTTGTCTTATTGACATCAGTATATCAGTATTATCAGTTTATATAAAATACAGTACAACCAGTTTTGTCATGTACCTAATTTGGCTAGCCGGTTAACCCATCTAGGGATTTTGTTTCCGGTTAACTTTTGACACATATCGTCACAAAAATGATTGCAATTCTTCCCAAATAAGTGATACGTGTCACCATAGTAGTTATTAGATTGGAGCTCAATGAATCTTTGAACTTGACTAGGGCTCAAATTCGTAGTACCCATTAAAATCGACTCTCTAAACTTAAATCCAGGGCATTTTTTAGGCTCAATCTCAAAAACACCACTTTCTGATTCTTGATGACACCCAAAACCATATTCGACACCATGAACTGTAATCAACCACCACAAAGAACAAACAATCAGAATTATGAACAGAGAAACTGGAGGGAAATGATTGAAGAAATGGAGGTTTGGTTTAATCACCTTCTAATCCTGTGTGAAAGGCACCGAGGCCTGTCCATGATATGCAAGTGTTAATGGTGGAGATGTCGTAGACATTAAGGTAAACAGGGGCGCTTCCAGGAGGAAAAAAGCGTGAAGAATCGTCTCGTGGTAAGATGCAGAAAAGACTTGATGGATTTCCGTTCATATAGTAAGGAACGATTTTTGATTTCATGCCTTTGAAAGGTGTGAAGCTAAAGAACATGGTGAAATTCGTCGTCTAGATCTGCATGAATCATGATCGAGTTATGATTTTGATTAAGGAATGGAGTATGAGATTCTACAATTGACCAATTGCACAAACAAAAATTGGAATATGTAAAACAGAAACAGGGAAGAAGTTAACAAGAAATGAAGAATTTTCGTTGATTGAGGACTTTAAAAGACTGAAGTAAGACTAAGTTGTTGTACTTTTACAATGAAACAAGAAGATGAACAAGCGAGAAATGCGATGTAATCCAGATTTGGAAGCGTATTTTAACTTTTGTGACCTTGTTTGCAAATGGATGAAATCTGAACTACTCTGTATCTGAACTATCAAAAAAGATTTATATGCAAATTTGAATCTAATTTTGAGAAGATGAATCAGACAAGAGGATTGTAGTAAAGATCCAAAGAAAATTTCAAAATCCAGAAAGAGAATTTAGATCAAACTTACACAATTTTTGAATCCATCATGAAATCAGAGACTAAATTGCAGAATCAAAATGCAGAAAACATGAAAGCACTTGAGATTACAATCAAACAAAAAACAAATGTTCGAATACTTATCGAAGCCAATAAACAAATTGAAGATTTAAAGAAACCGAAAAGATGATTCGAAAAAGGGAATACAACCCCGGGGAGAAATACTAAACCCTAGAAATGGTTTACGTTAAATTACCTTGAAAAACCCCACACTCTTCGTCCTTCGAGAGAAGGAAAGAATTCTTGAACACCAATCTGCTTATAATTTACTCTACTCCAATGAATTATCAATTATTGAGCTGGTAATCATCCCTATAAAGACTGTTTTTTTTTGTTTTGATTCAGGGAATAAAGCGAAAGTGATTGGTCAAAATGAGAAGAAAAAACTGGGGTTTGAGCTTTGAAAATTGGGTCAATGATTATGTAGTTCTAGTTTACATCCTTATATTTTGGTTATATTCCGTTTTAGTACCTATAATTATAAACTTCACAACTATTGTAAAGGGATGATAATGAGACAAATACAAGATCACAAGAGTGTAGAAAAATTAAATTACCTCTTACTTTTTATGCTTATAATTATTTTTAGCCATTAAAATTATGACAAATTACCATTCAATTTAATTTTATTTGATATATTCCTAATATAGCCTTAATGAGTTAGTTAAAAAAATATGAAATGATGACATTTGTCATAATTTTATTGGGTAGGAACATTTATAGGCATAAAAAGTATGAAGCAATTTAATTTATGTTAGATGTATATTTAGTTGGTTTATGTGTATATAATGTATTTTTGTAGCATATGGTTTATTATAGAGTTGTAGTTGTATCTCATCATCTCCTATCATTTGTAGATCTAGAGTTACACAAAAAATTGGGCCCAACATGACTCGAGTCAGGATAAGCTTCCAAGATCGGATCAGATAAGATTGTACGCTTTTCTAGCATCGGATCAATCATGCCTTTTTGGAACCGGCCATGGAGGACTACGAGTTAGGCTTTATCAGATTATTTTAAGATCCGAGCTGAAACTGCTTAGACCTACATCAAAAAAAAAAAACAAAAATTATTGAAAAGTATTCCGTAGCTTAAAATCATACAAATTATGCAACTCTAACTTTTTTAATTTACTTTCACAGTATTTATAATTTATAAGACAGTTATTTAAATTTAATTTTGTAAGTTTTTTATATTTAGCTGTGAACGTTTTTTATATTAATAAATATAACTGATGTTTTTTATGTTTTTTTTATAATTTAGTGTTAAAAGATAAATTCAACAAAAACAATCAGACTTTTTTTAGTTAAACCATGCAAAGTTTTCACATTAATGGACTGTGTCGGGTAGGGTAGGCTCTAGAATTCTGAGTTGTACATACCTTTGATTAGACCGGGTTCGGCCATGTTGGACACTACGTAAATCCATTTATTAATCAAAAAATTTTCGTTGGCATAAGTTAGTTTCTATCAAAGTTACATTTTGCTTAACAACTATAAGTTGTCATTAAGGTTATAAGTTATAACCATAAGATACCTTATAGAAATATGATGTAACAAAATTGAAGTTGAGGATGGTAAGCATTCCCTTCATTCAAACTTCTCAAAGAAAGGTGGTGGTGTCATTTTCTAATAATCATGACAAACAGTGGATAGTCAAGAAAAATATAGGGACTAAAAGCAAACAATTTTACTTCTTACCAAAGTTATGCTTTATTTTGAATTTTATAGGTTTCCATTAAAAGACGAATTATCTCCTTCGAATGTATTCCTTTTCTAATTGCCTCAGCCCTCAAACATACACACTCGCCATTGGCAAAATTGTATGGAAAGGATATATGTATTTTTAATTAGTTTTCATTTCATCACAACTGTTATTTTTTTAACTAAGTTTTTTTTTTTTAATAGAAGTTTTTAAGCCAATCGACCTAAGAAATATTAAACTTTCTACATCTCTTTGATATTTAAATAAAAGATGTGGCAACTACCAATCTACCATATCAAAACTAGACTCTTTTTTAATCCGAACATCCTTGAAGATAGACTTACTACGCTGAGCAATAGCTCCCAAAAAAAAAAAAAAAAAAAAAACCATTACTCCATCCATTTAGACTTGCAGGTAGTGGGTAAGGGGTTTTCCAATGTTTTGGACACCAAGTAACATTATCAAAGTGTTTACTAATGCTGTTAACATCACATCAATGTTCAAATATCAATTATCAAAAGATTAGAGAATTTCAAGCTTTAATGTTTAATAAATAAACCCTTACGTACAATCTAGGATTTCCAATCCCTTGTTGTGTAAAAGACGAATTCTACAAATATACCAAGCATGAAGCACCTCCAACGATTGAATTTCCTTCATTCACCATTGATTGCACAAATTAAGGTTTCACGTGGCTTTTATACTTATTTTCTGATGTTAGACATGTGTTTATTAATATATCCTTCATCGGTGTGACACGATAGCTTAACACATCCCATGGGAAGGAGTATAAAGTGTTGTTTGGTAGAAAATTGAATGATTTGTGGTTTAATACATTCTTGTTTGACCTCATCGAGCCTCCGATATGGGGGGGGGGGGGGGGGTCTTAGAAGTTGTTTAGTAGAAACGTAATGATTCATAGATGAACCATTAATTAAGAGGACGGAATGATGTAAGAATTATCAAGGTTAAGCTGTTGAACGAAGTTGTTGAATGAATAAATTTAGCATTCTAACATTCAAAAAAAAAAAGAATCCACTCCGCTCCTCTGTTTAACCATTTATTTGCTACTAAAAATTCCAAGTTAATTAACAAAAATATGATCATAATAACTTAAACAACACAAACAAAATATTCAACCATAAACAAAATGAACACCAAAGATCAACATACAAAGTCAACAAAATCATCAAAAAATTGGATGAACATACAAACACAAAAATCAGATGAACACACAAATCATAATCACAACATATCCTAAGGACATTGAAAAGGAAATCGACTACCCATTTTTAAAGCCAACAATTTGAGAACTAAGAGAAAAAAAAACATAGGTATAATAAGTAAAATAAAAGTGTTCTCCTTCTTCCCCCCTTCATGCAAGTATAATGGATCAATAAAACTTTAACACAGGCTCGGGGTTATGCTGGAAGGTGATGAGGGTATGGAGGTTTGGAGGCATCGAGTAGAAGAGGCAGGCTATGGAGCGATTAGTTCAACGACAACTTCATTTTTACTTATTTAAAGACAACTTAAAGTATGAACGGTTACCTTTGACCAATTAAGAGACTACCCAGACCTAAAGGACAATGGGTATCGACATAGTCGAAATGTGTTGTATAAAAACCCCAATCAAACAACATAACATATCACCAACACAACAAATGGAAGGAGACCGATAATCACACAAAACACTTAAAGATATAATTGATCACTATGAGTATTACCAAAGGCCTTCTAGCCCAACGATATCAGGTGATGCCAATACCTTGAGATCGAGGGTTCAAGTCCCGTCGTGGACATAGATGGAATTATGTGTTAGTTTAGGTGTAGATTATATATTTATATTTGTCGGTTCAAAAAAATAACTATGAGTATTTATATATGTATGGTTGGACGAAACGTTGGAAAATTACAAAAATTAAGGCTATCTGGAATGGAGCCCCAAGTCACACGTGAAAACCTATGTGACAAACCAAGAGACGTGTGAACACTGCCCCAATATACGGTGGCTAGGGTGTAGAGTCTCTATGAAAGTGGAATGAAGACAACCAATAAGAAGCAAATAGCAGCACCAGTCACTCTTTTTCTCTCTATTCTTTTTGCCCCTTCACTACCAACCCACCGATAAACACCATTTCCACAACCTAGTGGATTGGTTGTAAAATGATAAAATACATATGTGACCTTATCTTCATGTTGGATAAGGTGTCTAAGTCCATAACTTATTTGGTATATACTTGACCCGACCCGGCATGGTCCATTTGGGTTGCACTTCACCCAAACTGTTTATGGATAATTTTATGAGAATTGTATACTTACGATTTATTAATATATTATAAGTTATAATATATTAATATAAAGTCATGTTATTTAATTAGTTTTAATCTTGAATTAATTATGAATTAATTTAGTGATTAAAAGGAAGACTAATTAAATCATGGGCTATTATATTTATATGGTGTGGGCTAATACTCATTTGTTAATGGGCTAAGCTTATATGGAAGTCCGTGGATGATCCATGGAGCTTTTAACCCATGGATCCTTGGAAAGGAAAAGACATGGGTTATTAGGGTTTCACCCTAACCATGCACACTATATAAACAAGCTCATGTTGCATGAAATAAAACCCTAGTGTGTGTGTAATAGTGGTGGCCGAAATCTAAGAGTTAGTATACTCTCTCATACATTTTCCAAGTTTGTGGTGATTTGTGATTTCCATTTGAGGCATTCACATTATTGGTGCTTGGCTCTCAAACTCCAAGGAATCAACAATCAACAAAAGGTATGTAATTCATCTAGTTCTTTTATGTTTAAAAGTACCCCATGCCATGCTAGATAGGTTATAAACCTTGGAAAATAATATTTTGCATGTACCTTAGACAAACATAGATCCAAGGTTTATTAGGGTTGCATGTACACTTAGGAAGTGTTAGAATGTTCAAAACCCAACAGTGGTATCAGAGCTTAGGCTTGTTTGTTTGATACTTGATGCAAAATAGTGGAAAAAGTTGATTTTCTTGCTGTCTGCATGATGAACTCGCCGAGTCCATGGGGGGACTCGCCGAGTCCATGACTAAACTCATCCTACTCGCCGAGTAGGTTCGTTCACTCGGCGAGTAGAAGCCTCAGAATGCATATTTTCGACTTTTGCTACTGGAAATGGACTAGAAACATTACCCTAAACTGTTTTGGTGTTTTAAAACTTGTTTTAGTTGGTGTAATGGTTGTTCTAATCCATTTACAATAGCTTATATCAAAATTTCATGCTTTGTATGTGTTCATATAATTCTTGAAACTTTGATGATCATGTTCATGTTCTTATGAATTTAGAAGATGATAGGAATTATTTGCTGAATTGTTTTGGATTAATTCTTGATCATTTATGTGTTTTAATGGAGTCCATAATTTGTCCTCAAGTTATGGATATCCAAAGGTCACTTCTTTTAAACACACATTTAAACACATAATTTACATAAAAATGAAGAGTCTTCATTTTTATGAACCTTTAATTCATAAGTTATGAAATGAAAAGTTTTGGATAGTTACAAAACTTGCCCTCAAGTTTTGGAATTTGTAAAGTTTCACACACTTTAATAAACTTTAATTCCAACCCTTAGAGTTTTAATAGTTAAAATTCAACACTTATA